ACAGTTTAGCAGCTATGCCTCTCTTCATCGTACCTGATCGGGAGCAGAAACCAGTCCGGCTGTCCATGGGTCACAGTTCTTATAGACTGAGAAGAGACACATTCCTGCAAACACTGAGCACAGCAAGATGGACAACAGGCCTAACAGATTGATGTACAGAGATCTGGGAAAACACACATGGAGTAGCAAAGCAGGTGGACAAAACATGTAAAAACATTGAACATGTTAAATAGAGACATGGATTTATCAACATATATGTATGCATATTCAAAATCAAAAATTACAAATTCATATATTCAGTTTAAATATGCATGTTTAGCAGCTATTTTTGGTAAGACACTGTACAACTTTGTCTCTTCTACAGTGCACGAATGTCTGTATATTAAAAAAATATATATTATTATATAGAATACTGTAATTGATACCTATCACGTAAACATCTCTCCCGGTAAAACAGGACTTACAGTCTGGCATGAGTGAGGCTCTTGCAGGAGATGTATCTCTGAACCTGGGCCTGGTTGATCCCATAGATACTGATCCAGACAAATGTCCCTCCAACGGTTATGGTCCAAAAGGTGTGTCTCCTCAGAGGGTTTGTGTCAAAGCTGGTGAAAGAGAAAAAGAGGGCAGTTTGAATTTCAGTTAAAACATGAAAGTAAAAGCTTTCCAATTGTTGCCAGAATTTTGTAAAGTTAAAAACTGATGGATTAAACTGGGATCAAACCTTTCAGCACCATGGAGAGAGACACACAGAGCAACGTGTTTGAATGTCTCAGCACCAGAAACACAGCAGATTGTTTGTCATGGAAGACATAGTACTGTACTTTTAGAACATAATGTGTACTATTATATATATATTATATTATAGTGTATAGTGGTTTACACGTAGTCTCATGGGGGCTTGTAATATGCCTGTTGCTGTAGCTCTGTGTGATGGCCACAGCCATGGCCACACAGCCATGGCCACACAGCCATGGCCACACAGCCATCTTAAAAGCGGTAACCTCATACACTTACACTTTCCTTA